GGCGTGAACAGTACGAGTCGAGCGGACGAGCCGACGAGCCGCTCGGCTCATTTGCCACCACTAAGCACTAGTTTGTTCTAGAAACCACTTTTCGTCTCAAGAAAAGCAACGAAAGAGCTGGAATCATCATCTTCTTCCCATATATTACACGCAACTCTAATTTGCTTTCATCCCAGCAGATTTGAAAGCAATCATAAGAAAATACTCTTGCAATATTAACAATCTAATATTGCGATCTAGACTTCCTCAACTGAAGAATATTGTCCTGAAAGATGTCTCTAATTCCAAGCTTCTTTGACAACCGACGAAGCAACGTTTTCGATCCATTCTCTCTTGATATTTGGGATCCCTTTGAGGGGTTTCCTTTTTCAAGCACTTTAGCCAACGTTCCGAGCTCTCGCCGCGAAACCTCTGCATTTGCCAATGCTCGCATAGACTGGAAAGAGACTCCAGAAGCCCACGTATTCAAGGCTGATGTTCCAGGACTGAAGAAGGAAGAGGTTAAGGTGGAGGTTGAAGAAGGTGGAGTGCTTCAGATAAGGGGAGAGAGGAGCAAAGAGCAAGAGGAAAAGAACGACAAGTGGCATCGCATGGAGAGGAGCAGTGGAAAGTTCCTTCGCCGGTTCAGGCTGCCGGCAAATTCAAAGGTAGATCAGGTAAAGGCTAGCATGGAGAATGGTGTGCTGACTGTGACTGTACCTAAGGAAGAAGTGAAGAAGACTGAGGTTAAGTCCATTGACATCTCTGGTTGATTTGCCGTTTCGTTGGCGCATTTTTGATGTTTGTGGTTTGATAATTCCAAATGAATGAAGTTTTTAATGCTTTGTTAGTCTTGTAATAAAATTGGAGTTAAAAGTTTTATTAATATGTGAACTATGAATGTTGTCATGTTGTGGTCAATGTATATTACTCTACTTCTGAATGGTCAATGAACTTATCAAAAGTGTCGTCCACACATCACCTAGTCCCTTGAACTTGGGCTGATGTGGCCACACGACGTCCTACTTGGCAGCCGACGTTGTTTTCATACAGTTATGTAATGAGTTGCTCTCTTCAAATGATGATTTATTCGCTCCTCTTGTATGTAGTGAGTAAGTGAGTTTGTAAGCTATGTAGTATTCTTAGCATGGTCTTTTTTGGTTTACTTACAAATCAGACACACGACATAACCACATGCATAGACGCAAATTAGAAGCCCCCAATCATAAATTCGCCCCCAGCCACGAACTCCAGATTGCAAATTGATCTACCGGAATTTATGTGGACCACATAAAAATAAAAGATTTATGAGAAAAAATAAATGAGAATTTCATATATCAAGAAATTAAAATTGTCTTAAAAGATTTGTTTAAATCTAAATAATTCTTTCAAAATTTTAAAAGATTTAATTGTTATGTTGAGAGCCTACATCTCGTGAAGTATCTAAAAGCTCAATTATGAAGTTATGGATGAAGAAGAACACATAAATTACGGTAGAAATCAAATAGAAATAACTCTTTCAGATTAGTGGCATCGCGGCGTCGGCTCCTTGCAAGCCAAATGGCCTTGGGCACCGCAATGCCCATGCCGCTATTTGGCTTTTCCGCTGCCGGCATATAGGTGTCCCGTTTTCGGTCTAATACTTCCAAAATACTTTATCATTCATTTCAAAGTTCATTGTCCAATTAAACTCTCAATCCATGATGAAATTCAATCACTTATCAATTCAAATTTTCAAATCAAAATTATCTAGACTTCCTTCATGAATCAAACTTCTAAATCACGTTAAATTTGAGTTACAAATATAACAGTCTCTATCATTTTATGAGATTCTTCCGTTTTGTGTATGGTATTATCACTCTCTTCGGCAGTATCCACTTTTTTGAAAAGAATGCTCTACATTATTCTACTATTCAACGAAGTTCTTCTCGACATGAATTTTTGTATAAGAGATCATGAAAGCTTTCACAAAAAGTGAGGATAGCCTGGTAAGTCCTCGTAGTCATACCGACGAAGCATAAGCTAGTTCTTTTACTTCTAAGCCAATAGCTAGGGATAGAACAAGGAAGTTCTTCGTTTTTAAAATCTCTGTATCCATCTAACTTCTCCGATAATAAACTGAAAAAATGACATATATAAGTTTTATTAATATTACTGCATAATATTATTTAATTTATTATTTTTTGTTAATTCTCATATCAATTTCGTAATTAACAATCAAAATCGTTATTCACAAAAAGTCATTACAATCAAAAGCGTTAATTACAAAAAGTCATTACTCACTATCAGAAAAGGGGCAATCTGCAAAGTTTATAGGAACCCGTTGAACTGATACCAATATTCTAAAAAAAAAAAATGCAAAAGCGTGACGAAACGTGTAGGTCAAGTTTCGATCTTTAGACCTAAATTTTTTTTTCTTATTTTAATATTATTTTAAAATTTTAAATCAATTTAATAATTATTTAATAACTAAATAAATCAACCATTTAAAAGCGCTTGCAAAAGCGTAAAGTAAAAAAACATGAGCCCCGAAAAAAAAAGCACAAAAAAATGCGATGCTAGACGTTTTGGGCTCGTTTCGCGCCTAGGTGGCACTCTTTAAAATACTGACTAATACCGGTTGGCTAGCTTTAAAGGTCAAATTTTATTAAAAAAATGATTCTTAATTCATCAAGTAGCGGATTGCAACGCAATTTATCAGATATGGGATAGCCTATTATTATCTAATGTTCTAAAATGCGTAAAATGTGGCAAAGCCTGGAGGCAAGCTTAGACCTAAGCGTTAAAAAGCGTAAAAAATATTTTCTTATTTTAATATTATTTAAAAAATTTAAAGCAATTTAAAAATTATGTAATAATTAAAGGGAAAAACATAAAAAGCCTAAAAAATACACACACACACACACACACACAATTAGGCACGAAAAAATAAAAATGAAAAAGAAAAAAATGCAAAAAAGCACGAAGCGAGGTATTTTGCTCCCGCTTAGCGCCGCTTTTTAGAACAATGCTATTACCAATTAATATCACCGTAAGGGGGAATCATAATGCCTTTATGCATAAATAGTGACCCACTTGTTATAATTTATTAATTTTAATAAAATTAATATATCTACGAAATAAGTATTAAAGTATAATATTTTATTTTTTATTTGTTTAGGGTAAATTTTAGTGTTTTATATACTCTAAAATATATTTTAGTACTCATTTATTTAATAATATTAAGAGCATCTTCAATAAATTCTGTAAACATAAGTTACTCTCTATTTTAAGAGATAATCCTTAAAATTATACTCCAATAGATTTTTCAAATTAACATTAAAAAATAAAGAGGGCCCATTTTTTATAATTAACTACATTCAATGTATTTTAATTTTTAATGAAGAAAAATAATATATAGTACATGGAGTCTCTAGGTTGTGGGCTCACTCGGTCGGCCAAAAAAAGAGTCTCCAATGAACGACGACCAGTCTATAGTGATTTTGCAACCTAAAATCGATTATCCAGAAACACCTACCAATTAATTAACTCATTCTATAGCAAAAATCGGGTCTTTTCAGAAAACCAGTCCGCTCTTATAAACCACATGTAAATGCATGTTTCAATTTTTAGACATTTTATATATATAACATGTCACTTAATCCATTATGTGTTACTATTTAAAAATTATGGATCTCAAGAATCATGTGATAATTTAGTAAAAAATGTATAGATAAAAATAAATAAAATAACAAACTACATGCACAAAAGTAAAATAGTAATGTTCACTAAAATTATTATAAAACTAAACAAAGAGTTTGCTATTAGTAAAAAAGTAAAAAAAAAAAAAATATACATTTTAAATATAATCAGTACTCTAAAAGTTTATAATCCCGTTTGGTCCTCATTACTTGTCATTTCAATTTTTAAAATAATATTTTTTTTAAAGAATGTGTGGTTAAAAAAAAAAAGTTTGAATTTACTTATATTATTATTTTATTAAAAAATGTGTATTTAATAAGAAGACCCTAAAAAATGAATTATAATTTTTATGATTTCAAATGTGGCAGGCGTTTCTTTAAAATACAATGTGTGACGTGTTTGTATCCCATTGGAAGTCTGATTAATTTTTTTATATTCGGCTTACCTGCATTTCTTTGTATCCCATTGGAAGTCAAATTAACTCTATAGAATTTTATAGAAAGATCTCGTCTTTTCTACAGAAATATTTTTCTTTATTATTTTTAATTCTTTTTTGTCGAAGATGATGACAGACGGTCCCCACGGATTTTTTTTTCCCGAAGAAATGCCGCGAAACTCCTAGAATCGTCATCTTCTTCCTATATATATCTTGAATCACTAAATTACATTCATCGCAGAAAATTTCAAAGCCTGGATTAAGTCATCAGAAGAAAATTCAAATCCTTTTTCGTGATCTAAGATTAAGAAATCCATCCGCCAAAATGTCTCTGATTCCACGCTTCTTTGGCAACCGACGAAGCAACAATTTCGATCCATTCTCTCTTGATATTTGGGATCCCTTCGAGGGCTTCCCTTAGTCAGGCNGGCTTCCCTTTATCAGGCTCGGTAGATAATGTCCCAAATTCTGCCCGGGAAACATCTGCATTTGCAAATGCTCGTATAGACTGGAAAGAAACTCCAGAAGCCCACGTTTTCAAAGCCGATCTTCCCGGACTTAAGAAGGAAGAGGTTAAGGTGGAGGTTGAAGAAGGAGGAGTGCTTCAGATCAGTGGAGAGAGGAGCAAAGAGCAAGAGGAAAAGAACGACAAGTGGCATCGTGTTGAAAGGAGCAGTGGCAAGTTCCTTCGCCAGTTTAGGCTGCCGGAAAATGCCAAGACAGATCAGGTAAAGGCTAGCATGGAGAATGGTTTACTTACTGTGACTGTGCCTATGGAGGAAGTGAAGAAGCCTGAGGTGAAATCCATNCTTCGCCGGTTTAGGCTGCCGGAAAATGCCAAGACGGATCAGGTAAAGGCTAATATGGAGAATGGTGTGCTTACTGTGACTGTGCCTAAGGAGGATGTGAAGAAGCCTGAGGTTAAATCCATTGAGATCTCTGGTTGATTACTCCGTATGCGTTTTGATCCTGTTGGTGAATTAATGATGTCTGTCTGTAGTGTGATAATCTCGAAGAACAATGTTGAATGTCTCGTGTCTGGAAATGAAATGGTGTGTTTGAGGTTGGAAATATTGTGGAACTCTTAAATGAATATAAAAGTAAATTTCTGTTGTTCTTGTACATCTGCAAATGTTATTAGCTTTCTTTTTATTACCAACATTACAATTCCTACCGAAGTTAGGAAATAAATGATATTCTTTCTTACAAAATTAAGAGATTTCAGTTGATATGGCAATAATTTAGAAGTTCATATAAAGTTCGAACGGTAATGACAAAAATTACAAATCACTTTACTCTCGACCTTTTTATGAAGGCATCAGAATATAATAAAAAATAGATTCAGATTACTTACATTTTATTTCTTTCAAAGAGAAGCCACCGGTTAAATTTAGGGATCAGAAGAACTCAACCATAATCTGCATTCACCAAAAAATCATTGACACTTTCAATCTCAAATGGATATAATAGAAAATTTTCAACCAGAGGTTGAAGATTGAAGAGAAGGTAAAGAAGAAAATTCACGAATAGTCCTAGAAGATGGTTTTTGACGTTTTAGAATGAGGCATCAACAAAGGTTTTATTTATATCTTCATTGATCACCGTTGATCTTGATATGAGATCAACGGTCTAGAATAATAATTATCAATGAAATTCTCATTGTCATTTTTAAATTGGCTTGAATCTTGTTCATATAATTTTCGACGTCGACAACATAAATACGTATGGTGGAAAAAATATAAGTCAAACGATTTAGTATTTACATCCCTAGCGCGTAGTCTTCCATATTCATCGATCTTTCCTATCTGTGATTTTTCATAATTCAATCTCCAAAATTATCGCATATTTTCTTCTTAATCTCCTCATCTATAATAATGTCATAAATTTTCATTTATATCATGTTATAATAAAAAAACCGTAACCCAATTTGAAAATACCCATTTTTATTCTTGATTTCACACGACAACAAAAGTTGAGCAAGAACGTCATATATTGTCATGTTCACCTAGAGTACGTGGAGGCTCTAGGTTGTGGTCTCACTCAATCGGCCAAAAAAGGTCTCCAATGAACGACGACCAGTTTATAGTGATTTTGCAACCTACAATCGATTATCTAGAAATACCTACCAATTAATTAACTCATTCTATAGCAAAAATCGTGTCTTTTCTGAAAGCCAGTCCGCTCTTATAAACCACATGTAAATGCAAGTTTCAATTTTTAGACATTTTATATATAAAACATGGCACTTAATAAATTATGTGTTACTATTTAAAAATTATGGATCTCAAGAATCGTGTGATAATTTAGTAAAAAATGTATAGATAAAAATAAATAAAATAACAAACTTTGATTAACATGCACAAAAGTAAAATAATAATGTTCACTAAATTTAGGAAAAATTGCGACCGTGGTCCCAAACCTTTCATTTTGTTGCAAATTACACCCAAACTTTTTATTTTTGCGGCCGAAGTCCCAAACCTTTATATGTAATTGCAGCGTCGGTCCCAAGCCTTTAATTCCGTCCATAAAACCGTCAGTCAACGTTTCAACATTAATTTTGACTCGAAAAAATTGCA